CCGGTCAGCCTCTGTTAGGTACTCAGCAGGCACTGGATTCCGGGAGTTACCCAGTCCAAGAGGGGCCCCGGCCTGATTTACACACTTCTGTTGATGGGAAGTTCAGTGCCTCTCGAAGCAGCCCCTTCCAGGCAGTGCTGTGCCAAGCCTCTTCCCCAGACGGCACCACACTCAGCTTCCCTGCCTGTCCTAGCCCTGCTCTGATACCTCCAGCTCATGTCTAAGCTTGAGGCTTCACAACAGCCTATGTGTCCTCCTGCTCCAGGTCAGCCCCCTCCTGTTTAACCACGACCCTTTCGAACATTGCAACGGCAGAGCAGACCATGTCACTCTTCTGCTCAAGGACCTGCCTTGGTTCCCTGCTGTCTTCAGGAGACGTCTGGCTCCTCAGGGGACACCCAAGGTCCTTCTTATAGAGGACCAGTGGGCGTCTGCGTGCTCACCTCACCCCGTCTACTCCAGCCGCCCCCACCCTAACCTCTGCCCACCCCGCCCCACCCCCCAGCTTCCCCATTCTCAGAATGGCCAGTGGACAGCTGAGCTTCTGGGTCTTTCTGCCTCGAGCACCCAACCCCCTTTCCTCAGCCTTTGAGACCCAATTCAGATGTCCCCTCCTCTGGGAAAAATTTTTGGCCTCCTTCCCTTCTGGGTGGGCAAGTCCCTCCCTGCTCCTCCTGAGTGCCCACTGCCCCCTTCTGCTCTGTGTTGTCACTGTCGATGCGTCTCTACCCTGCCTACCTGTGAGCTCCAAGGTCAGTGGCCAAGCCTTGCCAAGCCAAGCCGAGCCTAGCACTCAGCCCGGGATGGGCGGTGAAGAGAGGCCCTCCGGAAACATTAGCTGGGGGCAGACATGAGGGGGGCGGAGGGTGTCCTTGTGGCAACTGAGCACTATGCCTCTCACCCCCACCCCTATTGTCCTCCTAAGGAGCACTGGACTGGGAGTCATAAAGCCTCACTGCTGGACTTGGGCAAGTTGCTTCCCTTCCTTGGGCTCAGTCTCTTCAGCTGTAAAGTGGGGAGGGGGGATGGGGACTGGAGTCCATCATCTCTGACATTCCCTCTCTCCTCGGCTATGAATCACACATAACGTGGGTCAGGAACCACGCTAGTCACCGTACAAACACAGATTCTAATGTACATGACATAAGATGCTTTATATACAACCTTCGGTACGATGTCGGGCATATCGTAAGCTTCAAATAAACAAAAGCTGCCCTTCTTGTAAAGATATCGTAAAATTATTATCTTTACAGCCATCAGACACAGTGCCATTTTACAGATGAGAAAAGTAAGGCAATGAAAGCTATCCGAGCTCACACAGCGGGGAACGGAGCAGCTGGTCCCAGTTCTCGCCTGTCACGCCACCCTGCTTTCCTAACAGGGTGGGCCAGCCCCTTTACCCATTCATTCAGTAAATATTTACACACGCCTACTAAGGGCCAGGCCCGGTATGAATGGCGCAGATGTGGACGAGATCCTGCCCTAGTGGAAGGTCCAGCTTCCTGGGGAGAAGAGATTAACTAGATACATAAATACATATATAAATCATGATGCATGCTCCATGGTTTGTAGGAAAAACTGGGGTGCTCTAAGACATACGCGGCCTGGGGTGACCCAGATGGGGAAGCTTCTCGCTAATCTGCTTAACTCCTGGATATTCCTGGTGGCTAGAGACCGCCACCACCCCACACTCCGGACCGGCTTAGGGCCAGACAACCCTGGAAGTGGGGGGCCAAATGCGGTCCCCGGCACCTCCACCCCAGCACTGGCCTTGCAAGTCCGCACCCCCGTCTCTTTGAAGACAGTCCCTTTACAACTGCCCTTTCCACCGAAGGATTCAGACACAAATGGTACTTTAAATTCAATATCGGTCATTAATATTTCATGATTGCAAAACGTTAAAGATAATGTCAGCGGAAGGAGCGTCTGCATGGGCAGAATGGATGACTCAGAAGCTGGGGAGAGGGGAGCCGGCTTACTAAGTGGCTGGGAGTCTTTGAGGCAATCCAGTATGACCGCGGCGGCTCTCGTGCAGCCTTCTCCAAGGTGTTCACCAAGCTTGGCCACTGTGCATAAATTTTCCCCCCTAATTCTTGTCCCCTCCTGTTTGTTATGCCCAGAGCAGGTAGGGTCACCGTGACCCCACCAGCATCCTCTGTTTCTAAAGAAGCCACATGGATGCTTCAGCAGGAGGCCATGGGCAGGCAGATCCACTGGCATTGCACTTGGGGCTGGGGCAGCCTGCTGGGAAGCAGGAGGTCTGGCGGTGGAGCCCTGGTCCTGCACGGATTTGCTCTGTGACCTTGGAACCATCGCTGTTCCTCCCTGAGCCTTCATTTCCTCATCTATAAAGCGGGGATAATAATTTTTCCCTTGTCTCACAGAGATGCTGAGAAGCTGGAGTGGGTGGGTTATTTGTGACATTCCTGGATTCGTGCCTGGCACCAAAGAAACGTGACTTGAGGGGCATCTGGGTGAGAGCCGGGCTTTGGAGTCGGATAGGTTGGGGCTGGGAATTTGGACAAATGATTTCCCTTCTCCGTATGTTGGGGATAAGGGCAGAACTGATATCTCTTAGGTGGGAAGAGTCAACGAGCGGGCACACTAATGCAAAATGCCTTGTGCAGAGTTGGTGCTGAAGTCAAGTCCACAGAGTCAAGATCAATAGATACCACTAATTGAGCACTTATTAAGTACTAGGCAAGTTCTTCCCATGCATGATCCTATTGAATCTTCCCACTAGCTCGGAGAAGCAGGAGCCATTCGTTTTCTTATTGATTGATACCTGGTGAGGGTTGGGCGGGGTTGTTGATTGCAGCTCAGAGGGCTGGGTCTCTAGCCCCGTGATCAGTCTCCTATCAGAGCCTTATCTTCCCCAGGTCAGTTGCGAGGCACTGCTGTGTGGGGGAGAGGGGCGGGATTCAGATTGCAGAGAGGACCCCGGAAAGGGAGCTCACCTGGCCATGCTGCGGAGGGAGCCAGACAGACTTGCCCCAAATCCCAGCTCTGCCACAGCACATCCTTGGGCAAATTTCCTCTCCGAGCCTCAATCTTCCCATCAGTAAAGTGGGTGCTGGCTGGTTAATGATCATGATTCAATAAAGGCACTGAAAAGCCTCTAGCCCAGAATACGGATGAGTTAAACACTGTCAAATGTTTGTGGGCGAGTCCCCTCCACATTCTTTCTTCCGTGAAATGGCAGCATTACAGACTTTGTATGCCACTCGAGCTGCTCGCTGCAAGGAGACCCACTCGGCAGAAGAAGCATGATGCTTAACCCAAGAATGGGATGTCAGACAGGGTGACAGGCTGTGGGGGAGCTGTATCTGTGGGCAGGGAGAGGCGGCGTCTCTGCCCAGCAGCCAGGCCAGTCCCCCCAATGGCTGCCCTGGGAACAGGTTCAGGGAAGTAAGGAGGGGGAGCTCTCCTCCCCCCAGTCCAGCCGCCACTTCCTCTCCAGCCACCTTTTGTTACCTTCCTTTCATGCAGTGGAGGAGTGGATTCAAAGGCTCCTGAGCAGCAGGCACTGAGGTTTGAGCCAGCTTTGTATTTTCTTTTAAACTGAAGTTGAAAGAGATGGAGGGAACTTCAGCCTAGGGACTTCCTTGGCCCACGAGCTGCTGGGGCGGCAAAGTGGGAGGGCGCCAGCAGGGGGAGGAGGAGGAAGGCTGGCAGGGGGCTCACAGGGCCAGGAGGGGCTTGGCCCCCCCCCCCCCCCCGCCCCGAAGTGCACGCAGGGGCAAGTTTGAACGTCGCCCACCCCCCGCCCCCCAGGCTCAGAGGCTCTGAGTTTCTCTGTTGTCATGACTGCTTGCTGGCAGCTGTGCTGGCTCTTGGACCTTGAGAGCTGATGGGGGTGCAGGGAGGCGGTGCAGAGGATGCCTGGAGACCAGGTCCAGGCAGCTTTGCTGTGGTTTTGGAGGAGGCCTGGAGCTGCCCCCTCCCCTCTCCTGGGGCTCTGTGAACCCCGCGGTCTCAGCTCCTCACCTCCATGGCCTTACTTATCTGGACCCTATGCATAGACCCCCCCTCCTTGTAGCTCACCTGTGCCAGCTGCACCAAACTGCCTGTGGTGCACACACACACTCTTCCTGAAAGCCAGGCCAAGCACCTTAAAGTAGTCCCAGACACCTCTCTTATCTCCACGTCAGTCATTCCATCATAAAATCCTGGGATGTCATTTTCAGCCTGCCCCCCAACGCTGACCACGTCTCACCTCCTCCATGGCTGTCGCCCTGGGCCTGGCCACATCTTCCTGCCACTGTCCCATTTAACTTCCTCCCTCACCCCTCAAAAGATCTATTCTCATGCAGCAGCCAGAGATATCCTGTCAGGCAACGTCCCTCCTCAGCTCTGTCCTATGATCCCCACCTTATTCAGAGTAAAGTCCGAGGAGCTTACAGTGGCTGAACACTGCCCTTCACCAACCACACTGGCTTCCTTGCTATTCCTCCAATATGCTGGGCAAACTATCACCTCAGGGCCTTTGCACTGGCTGTTTTCTCTGCTTAGAACACTCTTCCCTCAGACATGGGCATGACTCCCTCACTTTCGTAAGGTCTCTGTTGAAATGTCTCCTCAGAGAGGCCTTCTAAAAGGAACAACACCGTCTTCTTCCCAATCCCCCTCCCCCACTTTCTTTGGCGGTTCCTCCCTAGCACTTCACATCATATGACATAGGTAGACCTGTTTGGGGACAGTCTAGCGCTCCCCAACAAAGACAGGAGATTTTCTGTCTTCAAGGGCTGTATCCCCAGTCCCTAAAACAGGGCGTCGTATGTAGTGGGCACTCAATAAATGCTGAGGGAAGAAAGCCAGCTTCACGACCAGCTTTCGCCTTTTGGCTTGGGATCCTTCCCAGGTCTTTGCTCCTCCCTCTCAGCTCTTGCCTCTTGCAATCCGGCCATCTGTGCCCGGTTCCTTTCTTTTTGCCCCGCCTCGGCCCCGCCCCTCACTCAGCCTTCGTCCCTCCCCCAATGATAGCCCCGTCCCCGACTCACCGGCTTCCATGGCCAGCACGGTGATATTGTGCCAGCCCGCAGTCTCACGGTCCAGGCCCTTGCCCGTCACGATGGCGCCCGTGTCCGCATCGATATCAAAGATCTGGTCCAGATCCGAGTCGCGGTCAATGGCGTACCTGAGGGAGGCAGGGTGGGACTGATTGAAGGTGCCCTGGCACCAGGTGGATCCCATGCCCAAGTCCACCATTCCCCCCCGCCCCGTCCCTTAAAGAGGGATCACCTGCCTGGGGGACACGAGCAGCAGAGAAGCCCTTTCCAAAAGAGAAGGGGTGGAAAGGGATCTGGGTTTGCCTCTGCTGCTGTGTTTGCACCGGCACCTGCTGTGTGACCACGGGCCTCCCTCCACCTTTCCTGGCCTCAGTTTCCTCAGCTGGGTAATGGGGCTAATAATTTGCACCCCACAGTTGTGAGGCTGGAAGTGGGCGAAGTCCCTGGCACAGAGCTAGCACTCACTAGCTCATTCGATTCTTACCTTTCCCTAAGAGCTGACCCTAGAACTGGGCTTGGGAAGGGGACCGGGCTGGCCGGGTGGGCAGGTGCGTGGGAACAGGTGCAAAGAATCATTCAGAGAATGGTGGGTAGGGATTATTCAGAGAATGGCAAACGTAGAACGGAGAAGCAGGCGGGCATCCGCACCTGCGGGGCGCGGAATTCAGGGCTTGGACTTGTCGGGGGTAGGGGTGGGGGCCGAGGGGAATTCTGAGCAGGAGAGAGGGGGTCGGCGTGGAAGCCCCAGCCCCGGGCACACAGGCTGAGCGAGTGCGGGGTGTGGGGGTTGAGGGGGATGGCCGGCGGCCCCTCCCCGCCTGCGCAGCACGCTCGAGCTAATCTGCCGCTTTTCAGTTGCCGCGTGAAAAAGCCCTTTGTTCCGCCTTCTTCCCGGGCCTTTGTGCAGCGGCTCCAGGCCTGAAAGGCCCGTGTCCAACACATGTCTCGGGCGGCGGCCCAGAGAGGCCCCGCCAGCTCGGACCTCCGCTTCCCTGCGCTGATAACGCAGGCGGGGGCGCCGCCAGGCTGCACGGCCCACAAAGGCCTCAAATGCCAAGCAAGGGCGCATTGTGCGGCGAGGACAAAGAAGCTTGGCGGGGCGGAGCTCAGCCTGATCCACCCCAGTCCCTCTCACAGGGAGGAAACGGACCCTTTCCCCATCTCCTAGAGGGGGAAACTGAGGCCCAGGGAGGCCAGGGCACCAGAAACGCTGGAGGCGCAAAGCCCCAAAGTGACCCTATAGTGGGGCTTAGCTGCGTTACAACTTCTCCAGGCTTCAGTTTCCTCATCTGCTGAATGGGAATAATGACACCCAGTGGGACTGTCCGCATCTGGAGAGTAGTCAGAGCTGTGTTTGAATCCTAGGCTACTTAGTCTACCTGTGTAACCTTGGGCAAGTCACTGGACTTCCCTAGCCTCCATCTGCTTATCTGGAAAAGGGGGTGCTGTATACTCCCTCATGCTGGTGTGGGTTAGAGGAGGTAATGCATGAGTCCGGGCATAGGCATAGGTGATATCCCTTACTCTTTTCATAGTTACAGGGGTGGAGGTGAAAATGGTGAACACTATGGCCAACTGGAAAAGGTTGGGGATAGCGGGCATTACGGCTAGTCTCCTGAGCCCCCATCAACTCTCCTCTCTGTCCCTAAGCTGCTAAGCCCACATCCCCCTTGTCCCTAACCAACCTGGGTTCTCCTGACCTGGGTGAAAGTGTATGGGGGGCTTCAGACCCAAGATGATACTTCCTTCCACTAGCACAGCACTTAATAGTTATAGCCTGCTTTTCCTTTAGCCATCCTTCCGTGCACTCCTTCATGCCTAGACATTAACTCAGTGCCTTCTCTGTACTGCCCTGTGCTAGGTCCTGGGGATAAAAGGGCAAACGAGACACATGAGGTCCCTGCCTGGCATCCTGTGAAGCTGATGGGATCTCCCATTTTACAGATGAAGACACTGAGGCTCAGAAAGGAAACCTGCCAAGCTTAGGACGGCCAAGTATGGTTGAGCAGGCTGTATCCTGCACAAAGGTATCAGGCTGAAGGGTGAAATGGGGTTAAAGTCTACCCAGTGTTCAGTTTGCCAGGTGTCCTAGGGAGGATCTTCTCAAAAAGGGATCTTTTCCTTATTTATGCGAAGATGCCATGAAGATTAGTGATGACCGTGCTCAAAATTGCACAGGAACTGTCACAGAATTGGAATTTGTACCCAAATTTGGGACTCTCTACCCAGAGTTCTTTTTTAGCTCATTGAACCACCCAAAGCTGCAAAGCATGGAGGCTCAGGTCTCCTTTGCCCTCAGCCTGGGCCTGTCAGATGTTTGGTCCAAAGGAGGTAGAACAAGACTCCAAGTGTCAGCTCGGTTGGAAGGAACCTCCTCTTGATTTTACCAGTGCAGGAAGAGAGTCCAGGAGAGGGCCAGGGTCTGACATAGCCTGGGCTCCTGATCGCTGGGTCAAGGCTGGGGCATGAGACAGGGCTTGTGGGAGGAAGCCTACCACCTTCTTGCTTCTCCTGTTCCTGCTTAGAACTCCCTCCTTTTTTCTCTCCTCCCAGTTTTCTCTTTTGTTCCCTCCTGGAGTGGGGGGGGGGGGGGGGGGCGCTGAATCTAAGTGGAGGCAGCTGTTCCCAAGGCCGTGGGGCAGGCCGTAGGGACCTGCCATTAACCAGCAAAAGACTTGGGGCTGCAGGTCAGTGTGGCTGGCTGAGACCAGGTGGTTTTGTTCCAGCTCAGGAAGCCAGCCAGTGAGTGGGAGGGAGGGATGGAGGGGTGTGGCATGAAGCAAGGAGTGGGGCCTGGCAAAAATAGGGGGGTGGCGGGGCGAGGCTTAGGGACCTCACGTGTAGGTGCAGGAGTTGTGTGTCTGGTCGGTGTTGTGGGTGGAAAGTGTGTGTGTGTGTGTGTCCTGAATATGTGAGTGGTGTGCGTGCCTGTGTGTGTGCCTGTGTGTGTGTGTGTGAGATACTGCTTTGCTGTTGGAAAAGCTGAGGCTCGAGAGGGAGCTGCTTAGCCCTGGGTGTGGATCCAAGTCCTGTCCCCGACAAGTCACTTCAATCTTTGAACTTTAATTTTGAGCAAAATGGAGATGATAATCCTACCTTGCAAGTTGCTGGGAGGATTAAATGCCTGGCAGGGGGATAAGGTGCCTAGCTGAGCTCCAGGAAAATTACTCCAGGAGAGACAAGGATTGTTATTCTAATTATTATTCAGAATGTCTGGTTAGGGGGACACAGGAGTCCCCCCAGCAGGTGTGTGGTCCGTGTGCCCGGGTTGGGGGGGGTGGGGACTGGGAGGCCATATGTAGGGAAAGTGGACCTCAGAGTATCTCCAGCATGCTGGGAAGGGTGGGGGGCAGCTGTGGGTCTAGAATGTCCCGATCCTCATTCAGTCAGCGGGACCAGATGGCAGGAAGGGGAACCGGAGCAGGTGTGGGTGGAGGAGGGCAGAGAGAGAGTGTGGATGGGTGTCAGCTAGTACGTGGTACATGTGTGTACATGTCTGTGCACACTTGTAAGGGAGGCCCTGGAATGGTGGTCTGGAGTGCAGATCAGGTGTCCATCTGCCTAGGTTTGAAACCTAGCTGTGTGGCCTCGGGTAAATCACTTGACCTCTCTGTTCTTTGGTTTCCTCCTCTTAAAAATGGAGACAATAACAATGTCTACCTTACTGAACAGCTGTGAGGGCTGGACAAGTAGATATCAGGGGAATACTTCTAGCAGTGCTGGGAGCCTGCCACATGCTCCTGTGTTTTTTGCCAGACAAGACTTCATGCCAGGCCTGTAGGAGGCCTTTCCGTACATGAGCTCCTCCCATCTTCACAGGCACTGTTATAACCCCCATTTCACAGATGAGGAAACTGGGCTAAAAGAAGCAAGGGTCCTTGCTCTGGGTCAAAAGGGCTGGTTAGTGGACACCCATGTCTGTGCGGGGTCTTGTCTACGGGCACACCTGCAGATACTCGCACACACTCCAAGGGCACAAAGTGCTGCCATTGTCAAAGTCAGGGTGGGGGTTGTGGGGAGGGTCCTGCTTCCTGGCCTGGGCGTGCACTATGTGGTTTCTGTCCGAGCAAATCTGTGCATAGAGTGTGCACGCAGGCATGACAGAGCCGGGAGGCAGCAGGCTCCTATGTGTGCCACCCTCCCAGGCTCCCCGGTGGGGGGGGCTCATATGTGCCTCGAAGGCTGGATGATGCAGCCCCCACCTGAGCTACTAGAGGGAGAGTCTCTTCAGATGCAGAAGGGGCTCCCCGTCCCCCCAGTCCTCCCACCGGGGATTCCTCTCTGCTGACTCTACCCCATCTGTGATTCTTTCTCAAGTACTGCCCCCACCCCAACCTTAAGACACATATCAAAGCCCAAACACGATGCCTGGGAATTTGTATGTGATGAGTACAGGCTGCAGATTGAAGGGTAGAAACGGGTGTCCAGGCCACAAAGAACACAAAGGCACTGAGCGCAGATCCTAGTAGAACACAGTAGACATTTAATACCTAATTTTGGGGGGCGCCTGGGTGGCTCAGTGGGTTAAAGCCTCTACCTTCAGCTCAGGTCATGATCTCAGGGTCCTGGGATTGAGCCCCACATTGGGCTCTCTGCTCAGCAGGGAGCCTGCTTCCCCCTCTCTCTCTGCCTGCCTCTCTGCCTACTCGTGAGCTCTGTCAAATAAAAAAAAAAAAAATAAATAAAAAATAAATAAATAAATAAAATTTTAAGAATACCTAATTTTTGAATAAATGAATGAGGCAGGTACTATCATGATGCCCATTATAGAGATGGGAAAACAGAGGCTTATTGTAGGTCCAGTGATCTTCCCATAGTTCTACAACTGAGCTGGGATTCCGACCCAGGTCTTCTTTGATTCCAGAACCCCCATACTTTCTGATGCACCCCACTGTGGAGTGCTGGCAGGAAATGAGGGTTTGTTCCCTCTGGTCCAGTGTGGGCTTTGCTGGTTTTGATGTTTGAAGAAGGCTCACCAGGGTGTAGGGAGGACTATGCTGGGCTGATCAAGGGCCTGACTCTCTGCAAGGCTGCCTAACCCTGAGATGGGCCTGTCTGAGCCCCTCTGAGCACTCTCCTCCCTCCCTCCAAAGCTTCCAAGGTTTCCCTTTGAAGCATGGAGTCCTGCTTCTCCACCTGACATTCAGCGTCTTTCCCAGGCTGGCCCAAGTGCCCCTCTGACCTCATCTCTGCCCACCTTGACATGAGCTCACCCAGCTGATCACGCTGCTGCTGAACTTAACCTCCCGGATCTGCGACTCTCTTCCTGCTTCCGGGCCCTCACCCTCACTCCAACCAGGAACATCGTCTCCCTGTGCCAACCTCACCTCTCCAGCCTTGCTCAGGGGCGACCTGGGGAAGCCTGGGCTTGTTCCTGTGCCCTGAGCACTCGCCCTCCATGGAGCTCTGCAGTCCTCAAGCCCTGGCCCTCAGCCCAAGACCACTCAAACTTAGATCTGTTACTAGAGGCCTTCACATGGGGACCTAGCCTTTGTGTTGGCCTATGTCTGATTCATCTCTGTGCCTTATGCACCAGGGAGGACACCTAACCACAGAGAGGGTAAGAAGCTGGGGTAAAATTCCAGGAGGCTGAACTCAGGAAGCAGATAATCATGGGTTAAATCACTCCTGCCCCCCTTCAAGCTGAATGATACTGGGAGAGTCACTTCTCCTCTCTGAGCCTCAATTTCTTCATCTGTAAACTGTGTATATTACCCCCTGAGGGGGAAAGGCAACAAGATGAGGTACTTTCCACTCTCCCCAGTGCAGGAACTCAGAAAAACCACTCTGTATATCTGCATCTCTGTGTTCTGCAGGTGCCCAGGTAAAATCTCCCAGGATACCACTTACTGTCTTCATCTCCAGGAACACGCCAAGCTGCCTCTGCCCCAGGACCTTTGCACTTGCTGTTCCCTCCACCTGGAATGCTCTTCCTCACATCTTTGCAGGCTGGCTCTCACTTTATCATTCTGATCTCAGCTCACCTGCCAACTCCTGGACTGCTCCATCCACAGTAGCCCCTGTTGTCACAATCCTCCTTATCATATGGCCCTGTTTAACTCCTTCATGGCTCTTATCAGCAATTATTTCCTGACTGGTATCAACAAATGTTTTACGACTCGATGACTATCTACCCCTGGGAGAAGGCAAACTCTCTGTGGGCAGGGACAAGGTCTTATTACCACTGGTTCCCCCTTGACTCAATGTGTAGGCACTGACTGAGTCCAAGACCCTGAGGACTAAGGAGCTGAGGAGGCCATCTGGGCTCTGGGTACCACATGTACCCTGGGAGGTGCCCTTCAGTCTCTCAGTGGCCCCTCACTGGCCTCCTGTTTCCATGTCTGTCCCTTGCAGAGAGGGCGCTTATCCCCAGCTCTGCCCTCCGCTGAGTCATCGCCTGCGTCCCTGGGCCTGGCTCAGCACACCGAGGAGGAGTTGGGTAAATGTTTGTGGTTTTAAATTGGAGCTGTCTCAGGCTCCTCACTGCCTCCCCGTCTGAGGAGCCCCAGGGAAGGGGCCGGCAAAGAGAGATGAAAGAAGGTGAGAAGCTGGTTTCAAAGTTGGCCCTTTCAGTGCAGATAAAAGCTGGAGGGAAGGGAAACCAGCGGAGAGAGGAGGGAGAAGACTGAGAGGGGGTGTGAGAGCGACAGTGCAGGGGAGGGGAGTGCACACAGGAGCACTAACCTGGGAGGCGAGGACTCAGCTCCTACTCTTGGCTCTCAACTCCCCGGGGCGGAGCCCAGGAATGCCTCCTCCCCTCCCTGGGCCTCGGTTTCCTCACACACATGGGTGATAATCCCTTCCTGGAGGGAGAGAGGTTCGTGGCCTAGCCAGAGGCTAGGGGATTGCCGACAGACCGACGGACAGTCTGAGTGGAAGGGCAGCAGAGGAGCTCAGAGGAAGCAGGATGGTTTTGGCAGTGAGGAAGGCAGAGGCAACCCCGGTCCTCTGGCCCTCTGGCCTGAGTCTGAGCTCCTTAGCCTGCCCTTAAGGCCTGCCAGACCTCACTTTCGCTGCCTCATCTCCCTCAGTCCACTGTAGCCATCATGATCTACTCTCCTCTGGCACATCTACCTCTGCCTCCATATGTCCGCACAAGCTGTTCCTCTGCCTAGAATGCCCTTCACCCCGTATTTACACCTGACCATACACCTGACCATACCAGCTCAGTTCATTTCCTGCCTCCTCCAGGAAGTCTTTTAAGACCCCTGAGGGTATTTCCCAATCTGGGAGCCCACAGGCAGTTAGGCAGGATGGCATCTCTCTGTCGTCACCCAGGGCTGCCATGTAGGATGGCATAGGCTGTGCACTGCACAACCCAGAGAACCATTCACATAGATGATGAGGGGAATGTTTCCCATCTGGAACCATGTAATGCAGAGATCCTCAAATTAGCTTCCCCTCTCCCTCTCTTCAATGCTCCACACAGAGACTGGCAAATAGCTGGTTCAGGGATTACTGATTCTGTACAGGGGTTTCAGGGAGGAAGCAGGGAGCTCGGGAATCTCCTTCTGGTCTGTCTAAAAACGGCCCTCCCCCAATCCCTGGCCTCCTCTGGATTATTTCTGCTACAACCGTTCTTCCGGTCTCTTCTACTTGACCTCCTTCCAACTTGAGCCACAGTCAGAGACTTCTCAAACCCTTCCAGAAACACTGACAGAGCTGCAGCATCCCCTCCCCTCCACCCACCTGCCTCCCTCCCTGCTCGCCCCTGTCTCTCCCTATCTTTCCCTTTCTGGCTTTCTCAGCAAATCTCCTGTTTCTATATGGTCAGGCAGGTCCTCTGTCTCTTTTAGTTCCTCCCATGGTCTTCCCACCGGCTCCCCCCTCTATCTGACCTCCTCCTCTTACTGTGGGTCTCTCCCCAGGCTCCTGAGCCTCTGTCTCTCTCTTTTCTCAGTTTTTCTCTGCTTTTTATGTTTCATTCTCTCACCAGGGCAGTCAGCGAGTGTCCACTGAGTGCAGGCCTCGGGTCGGCCCTGAGGGTAGAGTGGTGAGCACGCAGAACTCCCTACCCTCACGGAGCTTATCTTGTAGCGGGAGAGACACACACGGAGCCAGAAAACTAGGTAGCATGTTAGACGATGAGGAAGGCTACTGAGGAGGGAGAAACATGCAGAAAGGGAATGTGAAGTGTTGGGGCTCTAGGTTGGGGTGGGGTTGAAATTTTAGGAAGAGTGGTCAGGAAAGGCATCCCTGAGAAGGTGACTCTTGAGCAAAGGCCTGGAGGAAGCGAGCGGACCTATAGTGGGGATATTAAGGGGGGGAATCGGCAGTTGCAAAGGCCCTGAGGTGGAGTGAGCCTGGTGCCCCTGCAGAGCAGTGAGGAGGCCAGGGTGGCGGAGCTGTGTGAACTAGGAAGGGGGGCCTTGGGAGGAACGGTCTGAAAGCCTACAGGGAGGCCAGATCTCACGGGTCTGGGGGGCATTGTGAGAGCTTGGTCTTTTATTCTGAGCCAGATGGGTGCCTCTGGGGGGCTCTGGGCAGAGGAAGGCCCAGAAATGATTTCCATTTCGACAGGATCAGTCTGGCCCAGAGGCAGTTCTAGATTAAAGAGGGGCAGGGCAGAAGCAGGGAGACCAGTGGGGGCGCTTTGGGGGAGTGCGCGATCTGGTCCGGATCTGGGTAAGAGAAAATGGGGGCGTGGCCCAGGGGATAGCAGCGCAGGGGCAGAAAGTGGTTGGATTCCGGATATGCAGCTAAAGCGTGGATGACGGATCCGCTGATGGGCTGGAGGGAGGTGTGAGACAGGAGGCAGGGTGTCTCCAACATTTTTGACTTCAAGGACTGGAAGGCTGGGGTCGTTGTTTTTGGTGGAGGGACCTGGAGCTCGGTTCTGAACGTGGTGAGTTTTGGGTGCCTGAGGGAGCCACGGGGAGCCGCTGAGACTGCAGGGTGGGCAAGAGAGTGGAATCGGGGGTCACAGGCTTGTGGATGGACAGGCCGTGGGCACCGAGGGAGTGAGCCACGGTGGACAGAGAGGAGGACCGGGGGCGAGCCGGGTTCACTCTGCGCTGTCTGCCAAACCTGGGTCTCCCTCCTTGACCCCAGTCCCCTGACTCTCTGTGATCATTCTCACATCTGATTCCTTTGTCTCTGAGCTGCATCTCTGCGTCCATATTCCCCTTCTCCGCCCCCCCGCCCCTCCCCCTCTGCCCGCAGTCCGTCCTCGGGCGGTGGCGGGAGAGCAGGCAGCAGGCGTGGCCCCGGGCGGGGGTCTCACCGGACGGGCCGGTTGGCGGCGTCGGGGTCCCGCGCCGTCACCACGCCGACCAGGGAGCCCACCTGCGCGTCCTCCTGCACCTCCAGGAGGCCGGAGGGCGGCCGGAACTCGGGGGGCTCGTCCACGTCGGTCACGGCCACGCGCACGATCGCCTGGTCGCGGAACGTGCCCAGGTCAGCGAAGCGGGGATCCACGAACTTGTTGAGGGCCTCCAGGACCACGGTGTGCACCGGCTGCGACTCAAAGTCCAGGCGCTGCGGGGAGGAAGCAGAAAGCTGGTGAGTGGGCCCCTCCCGCAGGCTCTGTGCCTAAAGAGAACGTCAGGGAGGTGGGCCCAGAGGGGGCGGGGCCGGCCCAAGGTCACGATGACTCAGCGTGGGGGTGTGTGTGGCACCGGGAGTAGTGGGCTGCACTAGGAAACCCGCTGTTGGGAGACCCAGACCAGCCCTTCCTGGTTGCAGGTGGATGAAGCCAGACTGCGGGGGACAGTCCTGCCAAGGGTCACACAGCCCATTAGGGTAAAGGACCCTGACATCTGACATCTGACTTCTCGCCCCGGAAGCACAATATGTTGGGGCATTTCATGAATTTATTAATTCACGGAACACTGAGTGTGTGCGCCAGTGCTTTAAACACATTAACTCATCTAACTTGACAACATCCCTAAGAGCCGCCTCCTGCATTGTGATTATCTCCTTTTGCACCAGAGGAACTCGAGGTCACTTAGCAGTTAGGCAGAGGCAGGATTCAAACCCAGCCAGTGCTGCTCCCAAGTCCTGGCCCTTAACCCCAGGCAAGGAAAGCCCACTGCTGCTGAGTCGACGTGTGTCTCTGGGCAATCAGTTTAGCCTCTCTGGGCCTCGGCTATGTGGGTGAAGGAGACATTTCCCAGGTCTGCAGGCGGCAGCAACGACTGTGAGTTGAACCTGTTAAGCCGGGCTGCCCGAGAGCTTTCCTTGGAAATCTGGCTAAACCCGTGCTGAGCCTTGCTTCTCATCAGGGAGTGCTCACGGGTGACCTTCTGATGAATGAGCTTCGAGGCTGTGTGTTGGCTCCGGCCTTCTAAAGACGACACCCAGGGACATAGCAGTGGTGGGGCTCAGGCGCCTCTGTTGCGTGGGGGGAACTATCTGGGTGGCAAGGGTGACCTTCCTGGAGACCTGCCCTGTGTCTAGAGACCCACGCTTTGCTCTCAGAACCTCCCGCCCCCACCTTCTCCAGCAGAAAATTCGGCCACCTCCTTCTTCCTTCCTCCGCCTTGTTGCCTGGGAAATCAGGATGCAGGGAGGCAGGCCAGAGCCGGGCATGAGTGAGCGATGGGCTCTGGAGCCGGGTCATCAATCAGGCGTGGGCTCTGCGCCTCCACCAAGACACCTCTGGCGCCTCTGCTGGAGCCGGGGTGTTGGGGGGTGGTGCCTGGGACGGGGGGAGGGGTTATGGGCAGCCTGGGGATTAAGAGCAAATGCAGAGGCTGGGCTTGGGGTCTGACTCTGCTGCCCTGGGATGCTGAGCCCCATCTGGGAAATGGGCTCATCTTCCAGAGGACAAATGGAACTCAGAAGACTGAAAGCCACATGATACTTAAAGGGGTGGATTCTGGAGCCAGACTGCCTGGGCTCGTAGACCTACTGTGTTCTGTGAGATGCATGCCCTTGGATGTGAATTGTTGAATTGCCATGGCCTCAATTTTCTCATCTATAAAATGGGCAATAATAGTACCTCAGAGGGTTGTGGTAGGGATTGATTAAGTTAATACATGACGAGCCGCTGAAGGGCGTCTGGTACCTCGGATACACTTTACTATACGTAATAGCTACTACATTTCAGTCTTCCGGGGAGCAGCTGAAGAAACTGGGAGTCTTTGCTCTTTGCAAACACTCCAGGCCAGGCAGAGAACAGGTCATGATGTGCTTCTTGAGTGAATGAAGGGCTGTAGAGCGAAGACGCTGCTGTGGGTCCCAGAAGGCAGGGCCCAGGCCGATGGGAACAGATTCTGCTCTGCTGATGGAGACAGGTCCTGGCTGAATGGGAGGAGAAATAGCCGGACAGTGGCAGGGAGTGGGCACCCCAGCCTGGAGGTGTACAAAGGCCGACCAGCATTTGCAGGCCAGCCCAGGGGACTGACCTCTCGTGGGAGAGCAAGGCTGGGGTGATGGTCTCAGAGGCCTGTGTGGCGCTGGGTTGCCAAGCCCACAACCAAATCCTGGAAGACGGATTTTTGCTTCTCATTTGATCTCCATCCCCTTCCCCTAAGGAGCCCCGAGTTTGTTCTTTTAGCTTTTGGTTCCTGGGCTAGTCAGTAGGGGAGGAGGGCTGTTGAACTCAGGAAGGAAAGAGCTTGGAGTCACCGGACTGGGGTTCAAATCCTGACTCTGCCCCTTACAGTATGATCTTGGGCAAGCCCTTTTCCCTCTCTGTACCTCTGTTTTCTCACTTGTAAAAATGGGCTTAAGGACTGATGTCTCTTCAGAGGGAAGCATGAGGATTAAAGGAAATGAGCATGAAGGGCATGAACTTGAAGGAGCTCAATGCAGTGATTCTGAGCACGGATCCAAATCTGGTTTGAATCCGGGCTCTCACAGCCAGCTGTGCCACTTATCTTCTTTGTGCCTCATTTTCTCATTTGTAAAATAAGACTGAGACCATCACTGTTTTCCCCAGGTTGGTCCTGGGTCCCCAGAGAGATCAGAGCTCTGTGGCAGCTCTAAGGCCTCCTTAACCCCACCACCCTGAGTCTGCACACCGCACCCCACCCCCCGACCTCCTGGGGAAGCCGCACCTTCTGCACTATGATGATGGCCTCCTGAGTGTCGCTGTCCGTGGTGACCTTGAACACTTGGCCACCGCTGCCGCTCTCTTCCTTGAGGTGGTAAGTCATATCTGTGTTCTCACCCACGTCTGAGTCCTCAGCTTTCACTCGTCCCACAGCTGTGCCGATGGGGGCTGACTCCTGAATGCTGAACTGGTACATCTCTGTAGGGGATACAGCTTGTGAACAGAGATGGGGGGCAGCCCCTACCCCCAACTTCCACCACCTTTAGGGGAGACGAGGGGGGGCCCAGATGGGCTCCTGGGAGGGCAGTGTCTGGAAGGGGCTCCCAAGGGGGCAGTGCCAAGAGGAGGGTCCTAATTCTGACCCTGGGCTGATTTGCCTGGATTTGATAGGAAAAATGCCTGCAATGTTTGGGGCTTCGGTTTCCCCGCGTGCCCAGGAGGGGTGCGGAGGAGCAAAGTGATCAAGGCTCAGGCCCTGGAGTCAGTCCTTGCTGTGTAATCGTGAGCCTTGGTTTTCTCATCTGTAGAACGGGAATAGTGCCTTCCTAGCGGCACCATCATTATCCCAGTTAACTTAGACGAAGAGGCGTGGGAAGTGCTTAGTACAGTGCCTAGCTCATAGTAGCTACTCAATAAATGGAACAAATTATGGTAAAAGAGTGGGGCTTCGCATCGATTTCCTGCTGCTATTGATGTTAGTGACGTTGATCTCTTCCTTCCCATGTATTTATTAAGCATCTATGGTGTTCCAGGTGCAGTTTGGGCACCGGGGTCATAGTAACAAGCAGAACAGACCCAAATCCCAGTTCTCACAGGGCTTTCCTCTTACCAGGCAGAGAAAGACACAAACAATCACATCAGTAAAATATGTGGTGTATCAAATGGTGATAGGTACTTTGGAGGAAAATAAAGTAAGGGAAAGGGCCTGGGGAAAGCCAATGAGGGCGTGTGTGCAGTTTTAGATTGGGTAATTAAGGATGACATTTTTGCAAAAGCCTGAAGGAGGTGAGAGAGTAAGCCAAGCAGATTTGTGGGAAAGAGCATTCCAGGCAGAAGCGACAGCAGGTGCAAAGGCTCTGGGGTGGGTGCAATGCCCAGTATGTTTGAAGAATGGCAAGACTTCCACTGTGGCTAGAGAGGAGAAGCAGAGCAGAAATGCGAGGGAATGAGGTCCGATGGGACACAGACAGTACCCGCCTCTCCCAGAGCTGAGGTCGAGATGAGGGTGATTTGCTCTGTGAGGGGCCTGTGCAGGTGACGCAGGGCCTGTGGAGCTCAGGATGTGCCTCTTGCATTCCCCAAGGTCTGGATACCCCTTCTGTGGAGCGGTGGCCTCTGAATCATTCTCACACGGCAGCCAGAGCGGCTCTTTCCAAATCACGTGGACTGTGCCACTTCCCGACTGGACTCCCTTCCATAGCTCCCCGCTGCTCTGCGATGGAGCCCTCCAGCCTTCTGGCCTGCTCTTCAGGATGCTTGCTGCCTGGTCTCTGCTGACGTCCGCAGCCTCAGCCTCCCTCTCCCTGACCCCAGCCTGCCTAAGGTCCTTATAATTCCTCATCTCTAGGCATTCTCTCTCTTTATTCTCCTTTCTGCTGTGCCCTCCCCAATTCCTACCCTTCCTTTAGTCTCACAGAACGTTCCCTCCACCAGGGAGCCTTCTCAGACTGACCTCCAGGCTCCGGTCTTGTGCTCCAGGGCCACCAAGCTTATCCCATTGTTAAGGATTCCTGCCTTTCCCTATCAGTTTCTGCTTCTTCTGTCCCTGCTCTCTCCTGTCTCCTCTGTCCCTGGTGTGAGCTCCTGGAAGGCAGGAACCACATCTCTTATTCATCAGGCATTCTCCAAGCTTGGCAGAACACCAGACTGTCGCATAAATGAAATGTGTGAGTGACTAGGGAGTGAATGAATACAAAGGACCATAGGTCTACGCTCACTGGGTTAACACAGATTAAAGAGTCTGACAATAGCAAGTGTTGGTGAGGATGGGCTACAATGGACACGTGCATTTTTTTCCATGGGGGGCGCACAGCTGGGCTTTTGTTTAGTAAAGCTGAAGCTGAGTATATCCCACGAGCCGGCCATCCTGTTCCAGTGTGTATATACACCGGAGATATGCGTGCAAACCAGCACTTGGAGACGTTTGCAAGGTGCAGCAACGTTCAGAGCAGTGTCCTTCATCATAGCTTCAAACCGGAAACAAACCAACCGTTTATCAACACAGAACAGATAAACGATGGACACCGTGCAGCCATGAAGATGAACGCATTACGCAACGAGCAACAACCTATGATTTCATGAACATAATTTTAAGAGGAAAAAAAAAAAGCAAGACACAAAGAGGTTATATGGTATGAGTCTGCTCATCTAAGGTTAAACAACCAGGTGAAATTAAGCTATAGGGCTCGGTGATGCGGATGCAGGTAAACTGACTCTAAGGCAAGGAGGCGGCGGTCACAATAGCGGATCATGGTTAACCCTGGAAGAGGGGGTGTGGGGGACAGTTGCGCTCAGGAAAGGCACGTGGAGGCTGCTGGGGTCCAGGAGTGTGGTCTCCAGGAGGGTTCGCTTTATAATTAGTTGTCAAACTGGACATTTTTACTCTCCAGCCTTCTGCTGGCGTGCGTATTTCACAATAAAGAAGTGTTAAAGATAAAGAGGGAACGAATCAATGAAGGAACAAACAAGAATCTTCCCGGGGCCAGGGTCCCTCTTCTCTGCTTTGCCCCACTGCTTCCCCCTCAGAGCCGGCACAGAGCCTCACACAACTGGACAGAAGCCCAGGTGGGCCCCACCCCTCTACGCGGTGCCCCAAAGCTCCCCACTCCACGTGCAAGTAGGGGCCGGCTCTGCCCCCGGCTGCCTGGCAACTCAGAGCTGGCTGGCGTTTCCGCCCACCCCGCCCAGAGCCCGGGCTGAGGCGCTAGGCCCCGATGATGGTGCGCTCTCAGCTAAGGGATTGGATTCCCTTATCTCTCGGGGGTCAGTCCCCTGTGGCGGGCCTAATGTGAGAGCAGCAGACCTCGAGTAATGACTCCCCGATAGGGATCAGCCCGGCTCCCTGCGGCATTTAGTCTCTGCCAGCTTTGGCGGCTTCCCGGCTTCCCGGCGCGGCTCTGGGCCCAAGGCTGGACAGAGGGGCTGGTTGACCGGGAGGTGGGGGACTCAGCCAGAGAACCAGCCCCAGTCCCCTGTTGTTCCAGGAGAGGCAGAGAGTGGAAAGACCTCCTAATTCAGAAGCACAGCACCCTGCCTTCCAGGCTAATCCGGGGTGGGGGGGCAAACCTGTCACTCCAGCCCCCACCCCCACCCAGCTTCTCCGTGCAGCATGGGCGGGCCTTGGCCTGGGTCTGGCCACAGCCTCTGTCTACATCCCTGTGTCTCCCCCCCAACCCCTTGCCCAGCCCCCAGCCCTTCCCTTTGCAAGCTTGGGTCAGGGGCAGGTCACATAGACTAAGCAGGAGTAGGGTGTGTGCGGGCCCAGTGAGGGGCTGGAGGAGGTGGGACAACCGGGGGCTCCCCCGTGGCAGGAAGCAAGGTGAGGGTGGTTGGTAACCGTGTTACTTAGCTGTGTGGAAAACCAGACAACTTTGAGGACTTCCTCTGCAAGAAGCATGATAGGAGGGGCACTGGAGGGAAATGGGTGACTTGGGTGGATAGACAGATTCAAATCCCTCTTCGGTGGACACCTAAAGGGAAGCATGAGCTTGGTGGGCGGCTGGAAGGATGAACAGACGCCCACGGTACCCTCGCCATGGAAGCCCGATGCAAGGGGAGCTGGGGGTCTACCAGATGCATCCCTTGCCTTCTGGGAAGGCCCCACTTACTCTGAGGGAAACGGGGTGGGTTGTCATTGACATCAGTGACCACGATGGTGACGGTCGTGGAGCCAGAGAGGCCGCCCAGCTGGCCCGCCATGTCTGTGGCCTGGATGACCACTTCGTAGCGCTCCTGGCTCTCGCGGTCAAGGTCGGGCACAGCCGTCCGGATCACACCTGTGGGTGAGTGAGAGTGAGGCCAGGGATCTCCCCTCGAGGCTGCCAGCAGACACATGGACCACTCCGCAAGCAGAGGCGGGCCTCAGGCAAGTTCAGGAGGGGAATGTCAAAGACATGGGTGTGGGGACGATGCGGATGCAGGCTCAGCAGCCCCATGCACGCGATGCACGCTCACGCACGCTGACGCACACTCATGCACGCTGGCGCACACTCATACCTGCTCAGAGAGATCCGCTCTTTCCTCTCTCTGTCAGTGGCTCTCAGCAGAGCCAGGCATGGAGCAGCATCTTGGCTTTGAGTGTTAACATGGTGAACGAGATGCACACCCACACTCATGCACACTCACTCTGGTGTCACACTCACCTATATGCATACTCTAGGTATGGCTTGCACACTTATATAGTACATACATAAGAACACACATGAACTCACACACGTGCACGCTCACAGCTGAGTGCACACTTATTTTCACACTCCCTTCTCCATGTTGGAGTCGGCCCCCAGCCCTTGGGGTCCCGGGGCCCTGGCCCAGCCCTAGATTCTCTGTCCAGGCACTAGCTAATCACTGATCAGACAGGCCTTCAAGCTGTTGATGCAAGAGGGGCAGGGGCAGCAGGAACGTGGCGGGGGGGGTGACCGCAAGATTAATTCTGCCGAGTGGAAGGCCGAGCTTCTTGTCTCCCTGCCAGTGGGAGACCGAGGTGGAGAGGAGAGTCGATGAGGCATTCAGAGCCTCCCCCGCTACTCACTCCAACCTGCCGAGTACCAGGTGGTGACAGGTGGTGCCCGGGGCCAGCACGCCAGGTGGAGTCATGCACCAGCAGCCCCATGATGCGCCCCATAAAACCCAATCTCCAACTCCTGATGTCTCCAAACAGCCCCCAGACTCCAATAGAGGCGCTAGAATGAGGGGAGACGCTGCGGTGTGTGCGTGTATGTGTGTATCTGTATGTGTAGCTGGGGGGGCTGGAGGCAGGGCATCTAGGAAGTGGTCCTGCTTTTGTGGCATCACATGGAGATATGGAAAATGTGTAGTCTGTCTAATGAAGAGTCGCACAGACCCTCCATCGGTGGCCTCTGAGACCCCTCTACGGGCTCCCCGCTGACCCTTCCTTTCCTGAGGGTGACCTTCGCAAGGATGGAGGAGTCTTGGAAGCCCATGAACTTGGGATAAATCCCAGCTCTACCCTTTTTTTGGCCATGTGATCTTGAGCAAGTCCCTTCTTCTGAACCTCAGTTTCCTTCTCTGGAAAATGGGACAACTGCAGTGCCTCCATATAGAACAGGAACGATCAACCCCAGCACTATGGGAGTTTCAGGAGGAATAACGCTACCTGCCACCTGCCAGTAGCAGCGTGTTCCACACCAGTCTCGGTTCTGGGCACAACAGGCCCTCCTTGAGCTGCCCCAACACTGACTGTGAACGGGGCACCCTTCTGGCGATGGGGCTGGGCCCAGGCCTCTGCTGGTCTGTCAGCTGAGGCTTTGCAGCCCTGGAGTGGGGACAGAGAGCAAGGGAGACCTAAAGAGCCGGGAGAGAGAGAAGGAGAGAGGGGAGTGGTCAAGCCAGAGAGAAATGCGTACTCAGGAGGGGATGGTGAGAGAGAGGAACAGAGCTCCAGAGACGTGGAGACCCATGAACCGGGAGAGAAAAGAACTGAGAGAAAGAATCAAGGGGAGAAAGGAAGGCAGAGAACAATAGAGACTGAGTAAACAGCCCTTCTCACAGACAGCAGGGAGGCCCAGAGTCAGGAAAGAGGGAAGAAAGACGGTGGAGGGAGAAAAGGAGGGCAGACAGGCCCACTGACGGTGGAGCAGGCACCAGGCCAGAGATGGGGGCTCCCTGAGTGAACCAGTCAGAAGGGCTGGGAGGGAGCCAACCAGTGGAGCCCCTCCTGCATCCCTAAGCTTTGCACATGTCCTTGGCCTCCAGGACCTCACGGACTGTAGAGGCAGTGCTGGGATTTGGGGCCACCGTGCGTCTGTGAGCTTGTGCACCAGAAGCTGGTGAATGGGGCTTGGAGCCGGGTTCTGGCTGAGGTCCACCCCTGTGGGGGAGGAACCCTGCTCATGGGGCTGCCTCCTTGCTGTCACTGCCACTTCTAGCTCTGGAGGAAGTAGGGCCACCAACCTCTTTTCACCTGGCAACTAGCCATGAAGCCTTGTAGACGATCAGGGGCCACTGCTGGGAGACTAGGAGGTGGGTACCCGGGGGCCCTGCTGCCTCTGGACCCGGCCCTGGGATCACACCCAGTGACAGCCTGGGATGACGACAGCTCCCAATAGAGCACACCTGCGGTTAGGCACACTCTTGGGTCACCCCCTCTCATACTGATTCAGGCCTTGGTCCTGCAAACTTGCTTTGGCCAATGGGACATCAGCAAGCAGGACAAAAAGCAGAGGCTTGATAAGCCCTTGTGTGCTAGGGCCTGTCCTCTTGGAGCCTCGAGACCACTGTGCTGAGAAAAAGCCCCCAGGCGGATGGCCACACGGAGGGAGGGGCCCAGCCACACTGGCCGTCCTAGCAGACCTGCCAGCTGACTGTCGCCCCATGAGTGACCCTTGCAAAAAGAACTGTGCGGCCAACCCACGGGATTATGACAAGAAAAAACTGTTGCTGTGTTAAGTCGCCGTGTTCAGGGGCAGTTTGTCAAAGAGCAGTAGATATCTGATGGAGAAATCATGTTCTCTGGACTGTCCCTCTCCTGGGCTCGCTCATGCAGCCACATTTCCCTAGAGGCTCCTCTGGCCAGAGGCCCAGCGGGGCCTGGCTCATAGGTCTGGCAGGTGGTCCCGGCTGTGAGGGGGAGCATGTCCGGTCTTCAGCAGGCTGGGCGCGTTTCCTTAGATGGTGGTCTTGGGAGAGAAGAGTGAGGATTGCAAGGCCTCTTAAGGCCTAACCTGGGACTTGGCAGAACATAATTTCTGCTCCAGATTCAAGACTCCACTTCTCTCTCTTTAAGTAAGCTCCATGCCCAACATAAGGTTTGAACTCATGACATTGAGAGATAGAGTCCAATCTCTATCAACTCAGCCAGCCAGGCACCCATCTAGACTCCACCTCTTGATAGGAGCCATGGCAAAGTCACTTTACCTAGCGGGGTGGGAGGGATCAATGGCATCTTCTGTTATCTGCTACTTTCTGCTCCCCACTCCACCTCCTGATGCAGGGAGGAGCACCCTGGGGGCTGGTGCTTTTCTCTCGGCTCTGAGGTAAAATTCTCACATCGGCCCCTGCAATTGTTCTTGGAAGCTCTGGCCCTGCAAATCGTTTCATTCACTCACTTATCAGACGCTTACTGAGGAAGTACTGTGAGTAGGGGCATGGAGTCAGATTTGAGGCTGTGCAGAAAGGAGGGATTTGGGGGTCAGACTGACTGGTTTAGGTTCTTCTTTCCACCACGTACATGCTATCTGACCTTGGGCAAGTTCTTGAGTGCGTCTGAGCCTCCGTTTCCTATTCTATAAAATGGGGCTACCCAGTTGGAAGGCTTTTAAGGGAACTAAATGAGACAAGGTTTCCAGCGGCAGGTCTCACGTTCTGGGGATGCCATGATGCTCCCTCCCTCCCCAAGTCCTGGATCGGGTACCCAATCCTACTGGCCTTGTCCATCATCTTACCTAGAGGGTCTGGCATGTTGTAGGTGTTCAGTAAACACTTGGACTGCCTGACCTACTGCCACAGACCCTCTGTCTCCCCTCTCACAGGCTGGGTGTCATTTGTTTCTGGCTTCTCTGTTGGAACAAAAGCCCCGTGGGGGCAGAAACCAGATCTGGTTATTATCCTGACCCCAGGATCTGGGACTTAGAAGGTGCTCAGCAAAGGTTTGTTTCATTCATCCCAGGAAAACAGACATCTCTGGCCCAGTTGAGAATTCTCAGCAGATAACTTGGAGTCTCCGAGCGTGCCTTTCTAGTCTTGCGGGAGTGGAGGTGGGCGGGGGCTGAAAGTCAGAACCTGGCCAGGGCTCCCCGCAGCCTTGTCCTCACCCATCACCCTCAGTTCCAGCTGTTATCCTCGCCACCCCTGCTGTCCCTTCCAGATTCTGCAGAAGGGGCCCTGGAGCCCAAGTGATGCCTCATTAGCCCGCAAATGCCATCCCTGTCGCCCCTGTGGGGGGCTTGCTGGCAGGCCTGGCCTTTAAAACACACAAGTTAATTCCTCCTCTGGCACTCGGCCCCACGGAGCCCCGCCTCCTCCTCTCCCTCACACCTTCCTCTCAGGGCCCGTTCCGGCTCTGCTCCCTGCTATCTGCACAGCGAGAACAGACTGTACCTCGCAGCAGCTGCTAAATATAGACCCGCATCAGCGGAATATTCCTGGCTGGGGAAATGGAGCTGGGGCTGGGAATGGCACCAGGGCGGCTCCTGCAGTGGGGCTGAAGCCAAGGGGAGGAAAAATCTGGTCCTTCCTGGGAGGTGTCAGCAAAGACCCTCTCAGACTGAGAAAGTGAAGGACCCTAGGACAAGGACCTCATCTGCACTGCTTCACCTGCCTTGTCTGGTGCCCATTCTCTGGCCTGAGAACGGTTCCTGCCCTCCTGGGCTCTCTGAGGCCTCCCACGTGCCACCCTCTTCCTGCCTCCTTGCAGCGGGGGATGCTTTTTCTGAGAACCCGGCCGTCCTCTTCACTCGCTTGAAGTCTGGTCCCCCATCTGCTCACCCCTGCCATCTCCCAGACTCAGTCCTGGCCCCTCCCTTATTTCTGTCTCTTCCTCCCTTTCAGGAAGGGGAATCAACTCGAAGGGCCCCCTCCTCCGGCTGAATGAATGAAGGCATCAGTAGCAACAGGCAACAGCAGCCCCTTGGCTTGCCAGGAGGTACCAAGGATTGCGCCCGGCACTTTGTACCCTCGCTGTTCCCTTGGCCTGCGCCTTCCTTCTGGGATACCGAGGGGGCTTATACGCTCCCTTCACTCATGTCTCTGTCCAAGATCACCTCCCTAGAAAGGCCCGTCCTGATTTCTTCTTCGAGGTCTACCCCTTTATCCTGCTTTCTGTGTCTTCCTTGCACTTGTTGCTATGATGTTATGTTATACCTGGATAGGCTTATTTTCTGCATTTCTGTATTCCCTACTTGAATTAAAGCTCTGTGAGGGTAGGGATTTGCTTCCTGCCATATGCTTAGAGCCTAGAACAGAGCCAGGTACGTAGGAGGCACTGGCTGAAGAGTTGTTGAATGAAGGAAGGAACTCTCCTGTTGGATCCTCACAACAGTCACTTGTGATGGGAATTATTATCCTTCTTGTGCACGTGGGAAACCAAAGTTTAAGGAGCCCCTGCTATGAAGAGAGCTCCAGGCCCATATTTCAGACAGCCTGCTAGATGTTCCAGATGTTTCTTTCCTTCTCCTCTCTCCTCTTAAAGGCACTTCGGTTAAAATGGAATGAATTAGCTCTGCACCAGATCCCAGGGCACATTCACTAATTCTTTTGGTCCTAGTTTTCTTAATCGACACTCCTCCTTCTGTTTCTGTGGATGGTGCCCCTTCCCATCCCAGGCCCCAAAGTTGGGAACCCCCAGACTCTTCCCTCAGTCCAGTTCCCTACCCCCAAGGTTTGCCCTTGGTAGGACCTCACTGTCATCTCTCATTCTCCCTCCTCAGCATCTCAGCTAACCCTCGCCACCAATCCTGTGTCATCTCTGGCTCCCTAACTAGATGGAGCAGGTTCAGGAGTCTGGGTGGGGGTCGGGGAAGGGCGCAGGCCTTGGTGTTTGTCATTTGGGGCTCTCTGCTGGGCACCCTAGGCTACTGAGTCTCCCTGAACTCAATTCCTGTCTCTGAGCCATGCTAAAGAGAGCAGCCCGAGGGATCTTGTTAAAATGAAAACCCGAGCATGTCACTTCCTTGCCTAAAAGTCATCAATGAACCCAAAATGTTGGAGAGGAGGAGGGGAACAGGTGCCTTCCTATGTGGCTCTCGGGAGTGTAATCTGGTACATTTCGGCATTATCTATCCGGATTCCAAATGCATGTGCTCTTTGACCCAGCTTTTCCTCTTCCCGAAAATTATCCTGCAGATACACTCACACAAGCACAAAATGATATATGTATGAGGTTATTCACTGTAGCATTGCTTGTTGTAGCAAAAGATTGGAAACAGCGTAAATGTCCATCAATAGGGGACTGGTGAAATAAATTTTAGTGTATCCACAACAGCTGTTAAATAAAAGAATGAGGAAGCTCTTTATGTACTGATATAAAATAATCTTCAAGATGTATTGTAAAGTGAAAAAGGCAAGCAGTGTATATAGTGTGTGTTTATAGCTACCATTTGTGTAAAAAAAAAATAAAACAAATACATGTACCTATTTTCTTGTACATGCATAGAATAGCTCTGGAAGGATACGCAAGAAAATTACATTGGTTGCCTTGGGGACCCAAACTGGGTGGCTGGGGGACGGGAAGGGGTGAAGAATTTCCACTAAATATCTGTTTGGATTACTTTTTAAATTTCGAACCTTGAAATATGTTATTTATTTTTAGAAACTTAATATTTTTTTAAGTGCATGAGTCCAAGATCTCATAGGATATATATATCAAGTGGCTACCTCTGGGGCTGTAATTAGGGGATGAGGGTGGGAAGCATCTTCCTTTTTTTCTTTCTCTCCCTCTTTTAACATTTAATGATTGAATTTCCAAAATATATTACTTTTGCAAGGAGAAAAAAATGACAAAGATATTTGTGTAAGATAGTACAATTATAACTGTGCTCATAGTCTGGAATCCTCAATCCCCCACCCCAAAAAATCAAATACACAAACAAAAACCCGAAACACAGATCCACCACGCACACACACACCATTACCTTTAGAATAATCCTTAGAACTACCTTTTACCCCCATTACCCTTGGAAAAAAATTCCCCCATTACCTTTAGAATAAAATCCAAGGTCTTAAGCCTCACTTCTCCTGGGCCCAGTTGGGCCCCTACCAGCCAGCCCTGATCCCATCTCAGGCCTCCTGCATTTCCCAGTCCTGGGTTGCTTACAATTCCCCTCATGCCTCAGGGTGTTCTTCCCTCCTAGTTTTGCCAGCACAATGCCCTCTGCCTGGAATGCCTGTCTCTGAGTCCCCATCTGGGTCTGGCCAACACCTTCTTATCCTTTGGAGATCAGCTCCTTCCACCTCCCAGAACTTTGCATCCCGATGGCCCATGCATGTGCCTGTCGCCCCTGCCCCCAATGGACTGTGAGCCCCAGAACAGCATCTGATAAACATTGTGTGGTGTGCGGTCTCCCGTGAGCCCTCACTCCTGGCCTGCCCCTCCCATCTCAGGGACAGGGAGAACACCTTCCTTGGCCTCGGCAGCCACGCCCAGCTGTGCAACCTCTGTGAGGCACTTCACTTCTCTGAGCCTCATGTCCTGCTCTGCCCTCCCTGCCACTCTGGCAGGGCCTCTCAGAGACGTAATCAGGCTCTAACCTCAGAGAAAGTGAAGTGAGGACTGTGTTCGGTGGTGTTGGGGGAGGGAAAAGAAGCCAACAAGCCATTCTCCCCTGTCTCTATCTCTTTCCATCAGACCCTTAACAACTGCCCTTTGAACAGAGCTTTCACAACTGCTGAAAAGGTGCCCTTCACCTGCTGACCCCTAAGGGCTGCAGACACGCTTGCTTCAGTTAAGCTCCAAGGACAAGAGGGTCGCTTACGTGGGACCTCTGAAGTCCCCTTCAGGGCGCCCATGTATCCTGCCTTTTTGTTTCTCTGCCAGTCTGGCAGGCGCTCCTCACCCTCCCCACCCCGCCGCCCTCAAGCCCCATCTTTTTCTGTTCCTCAGCCCTTGTCTCTTTCTGCCTGGCGGTCCTTTCCTCGCTGAGATCCTGGAACACGATAGACGCGGCTTCCGGTCCCGTCCTACCCTCAGCGATGTCTGGTTAGAAGGCTGCTAGCAGAAGTACCCCCACCCTCTAGCCCCGCCCCTCCGTGCCCCTCCTCGGTCTTGCCCAGGCCCCGCCCCTCTGGCCCGGCCCCGCCCCTTACCGGTCTTGGGGTCCACGGTGAAGTGGTGCTCGCCATCCAGCACGCTGTACACCAGCCGAGCGCTGCTGCCGTACGTGGGGTCATCCGCATCCGAGGCCATCACCTGCATCACCGACGTGCCTGGACCCGGGGGACCAAGCGAGACGGGGGTCACCTGGGGCCGCTGTGCTTGTCCTCCCCACCCCAGGGAAGCTAGGAGAGGAGATCCAAGCTGGAGGTCATGGAAGCTAGTCCCCTCACAGTCCTCATCCCCACACCGACTCCCATCCCGCTTCCTGATCTGGGGGCTTCCTGTGGAACAAGCATGACCATGGAGTCAGATCTGGGTTCAGATCTCCTTTGGTGGCTCCCAGCTGTAGGACTCTGGCAAGGGAAGACAGCCTCTCTGAATCCGTTTCCTCTTTAGCAAATGGGGGATAATCCTAGTCCTTGGTTCTTGATGTTGAGGGAATGCACTTTAAATTCTCAGTGCAGATGGGGCTCAGTCTCAGCTTGTGATGCAATGGTCATCGTCACCAATTAAGTCATCACGGTCAGAGTTAGAGCCAGGACTGGAAACCAGGCACCCGACTCCCAAAACAGGGGTCTTTCTACCCACCCCTGCCCCTCCTGATTTCTTGAGAGAATTCTGCTTCTCTTCCCTCCCTCCTCACCACCCCCCACAGGATGGGGGTTGGGCAGCCCAGAAGGATAACCAAGTTCACTGGGGTTCAGAGGCCAGTATCTTTTGGATCTGGGGCAGGAGGATGGCAAGGCCCAGCTTTCCCTTTGGTTAATAGTTGGCTGTGGGTCCTGGTGCCCTCCTCGCCCCTCCCCCTGGGTGTCCAGACAGTCTCCTGCCCCAGACACACACACACACACACACACACACACACACACACACACACACACACACTTCACATGCTCTGCACGCTCTGCACGTAGGCTGCTGGGGAGAGTATAAATTGGATAAAAGTCCATCAAACAGCGGCAATTAAGTTATTGATTTTCGACGCTGCCTCATTAAACTGGGAGCTTCTCTCGGCCTGTCCCAGAGATGGCTCTAATTTGACATCATGTTCAATTTGACGAAATCAGGGCTTGGGACGTGAGGCTGGACAGGAGGGGGGTGAGGGTGGGGTGGGGGAGGGTTGGATGGGGAGGCGGGCAAAGCCTTCTGGTCCATCTGAACCTTTCCAGAAAGGAGGGGGTGAGGTAGAAGACCCAAGAGGGAGTCTTGGGAGCTCAGGATATGAGCCAAGAGGATAAGACTCAGACGTCACTTCAAGGTGATGCCTTCTTTTGAATGCCCTGCTGGTGAGGGGATGGGACCCAGACCTGCTGAGGTTCTGGGTGGGGCCTTTCCGGGGCTGGGTGGTACTCTCTGGGCCAGGAGGGCGCCTGCTAGGAGGTAAGGCCCATTCACAGCTTGGCTAATGAGTGAGGCTCTGGAAGTGCTACTGCAGCAATTCTGCTAAGCCCAGCCTGCCGCCCGCCTCTCCCGCCTCCAGCCTGGGGCCCTCGATCATTCCAGACAGACACATGTATTTATTTTTCACTCTTTTGCATTCCTTATTTCCCTCTCTATATCCCCCCTCCCAGCCTGAGCCTTCTAAACCGGCCCCGCAATGCGCCTCTCTTTGGCAGCTCCTGCTCCATGTCAGCCATGTCAGGGTTGCCCAGAAAAGCTAGGGAAGGTATTTGAGCAAGCCCTCTCCCCGTCGATGCTTGGTGCCCAGGGTCTTCTCTTAGGGACATAACCCCAGGTGACTCATATTATACAGAAAGAGGAAAAAGGAATAAACTCTTAGGGGCACCCATTGCATGTCCAGCTTCACCAAGCACTTAAATTCATCATCTCTGGGGCACCTGGGTGGCTCAGTGGGTTAAAGCCTCTGCCTTCGGCTCAGGTCATGGTCCTGGGGTCCTGGGATCGAGTCCCACATTGGGCTCTCTGCTCAGTGGTGGGCCTGCTTCCTCCTCTCTCTCTGCCTGCCTCTCCGCCTGCTTGTGATCTCTGTCTGTCAAATAAATAAATAAAATCTTTAGAAAATAATTCATCATCTCTAATCCTCATAGTATTTTCGAGAGGCAGAATGTTCCCCTCGAAGTTACAGGTGAGGAAACAGGTCAGACAAGTAGGAAGACTTGACCAAGAGCACTGAGAGAGGAAGTGGTGGGATTTGAACCCAGGATTCTAAGGTCAAAGCCCTCCTGGGGTGACAGCGCAGGCAGGCAGAGTGGCTCTGGGGATGGTGGCTAAGTGTAATGAATCACAATCAGTGATGACTCTGCCATTTACTAGCAGTTTGACCTTGAACATGTCACAACCCCCTTGTGCCTCAATTTTCTCATTTGTGAAATGAAGATGAGCATATTACCAAACTCCAAAAATTGTTTTAGGAATTTAAACAGACTTCCGTGTTCAGCACCGAGGACAGTGCCTGACCCACGCTAAGCACTCAATAAATGTAAGGTTGTTGTCTTGGGAGGCATGGCATGCGAGTATATGATAGCACAATCATGCCTCCCTCACAGACACACTAAAAAGGGAGAAGATACATAAAGCATCAGGCTCATGGTGGGTGCTCAATAAATAGTGGCTGTTGTAGCTGTTATGAGAGAGGGTCTCCCTGCCACTCCCCTCTACTTGTTCCCCCCACCCCTTGGGCAAGGCACAATATCCAGCTGAATGACTCCCCAGGGTAATGGCTGATCTCTCTCTCTCTCTCTCCCTGGCTGCATCCCAGGGACTCCTGCGGGGATGATGGAATCATTTCCCCAATCCCGGATTCTTTATTGCAGCCATTATAGTTAATGCCAACACGTGGGGATGGTGAAGGGTCAGTGATTCACCACTGGCTCCCCAGGCTCCAGACCCCCTCCTACCTTCTTCACAAGTCAGCAGCTCCCCAGAATGGGCAGATAAAAGGGTGCCAGGCTTGTGGCTGCTATGGGACCACGGCAGGGTCAGCCCCCCTCCATTCAGCAGTTCGATTTTATAATGACCATCACATCCACTCCCTCCTTTAGTCCTCAGTCAAATTCTAAGATGTAGATGCAGTGGTATGCTGGTAAGTGTTTAACCATCAGCTCAGAGGGCTAGAGGGGTGGGGAGGAACGCCCTGCCTTGTTGTATTTGTTGATTTCCATGGTGTAGAGACTCTCACCATGGCCAATTTCAAGATACCTATGTGATATCAAGTGGCTCACAAAACAGAAAATCAATATTTGCCTATTGTGAGTGGATATGAGCCAAAACTGTACAATCCTGCATCATTCCCATTTTACAGATGAGGAAACTGCTATGCACAGTGAACGGTGAAAATGTGAATTAATAATAAATACTGATGAAACCCATTATTACATATTGTTATTCAAGGATCATGATAGATTATGTTTACTGAATAACTAACTACTTTGTGCTAGATCCTATGAGAAGCCTTTATGTCTGTTATCTCATGGAATTATAAAATAAGCTTGAAGTAAGCTCTATTGAGATTCCCACTTTATAGATGAAAAAATGAGGCTGAGTGAAGTTAAGCAATGAAGCCCCTTGTGCCTTAGTTTCCTCACTTGTGAAATGAAGATAATATTACTGCCAAGCTCTCAAGATCACTGTGAGAACTCAAATAGTTCTCCATGTTCAGAACCAAGAACAATGTCTGGCCAAGTTCACCTGGCAAGGAAATAGGAGAGGCAGGATTCAAACCCAGGTTAATCTGATGTCAAAACCCACATGTGCCTGGTCTTATGAAGTAGGAGGGGGGGCCAATAGGGTAAAAGGAGACGGGCAAGTAAGAGAGGGAAGAGTCAGAGAAAGGAGGGGAATGGCAAGGAACTGCATCAGGGATTTTCCCTGCCACAACTGGTTGAAGCTCGGACTTCCAGACGTAGGGCTGGGATTGGCTGGTTGCTGTCCATGGTGCTGCCAGCCAACTCTTAAGCTATGTGGGGTTAAGGACCTCTATCCAGGCCGACATAGGAAGTATTGCCCAAATGATTCTTGGGTAAACAGGATTTCAGAACAGGGTTCCACGTAGAATGTTAAATGTGGAAAGGCTGGTCCTCGGAGAGCACAGAAACCAGTGTTTCTTACCCTGGCTGCATATTAGAATCTCTTAGGAGCTTTAAAATAAAACTGATGCTGAACCCCATCCCAGACCACTTCAGTAGGCCTCTCCTGGGGTGAAGCAGAGACAAGGGCATTTTAAAAAAACTCCTGCAGTGATTCTAAAATGCATCCCAGGCTAACCACCAGCCAAACCCCTGATTGAACTCAGGAAACTGAGTCATGGGGTCTCTGCTCAGTGACTTTCCCCAGGTTCTATCAGTAGTAAGTGGTAGGGAAAGACTGCAGCCCAGGTCTGTGGGGCCAGCATGTCACCCTTCTGGACTCACTGTGCCAGTCCTAAGACTGACACTAGGAAGGAAGAAGCAAGGACGACACATGCCACCAAGTCAGCAGTGCTCCTCCCAGGCAAAATCAGCATGAGACATCAGACTCCTGCCAGGAGATGAGACTGGGTGGGCTTTGGCATCAGAGAGTCTTGGGTTCATATCCCACCGCTTCTTCACTCCGTGCTCTTGGTCAAGTCTTTCTCCCTGTTTGACCTCTTTCCTCACCTTTAGTCTAGAGGAGGCCCCTCTGCCTCCCAGGGATGCTCTGAGGACTAGAAATGATGGATTTACATGGCTGGTAAAGCTGGGCATATAGTAGCACCCAGTAGTTTATTCCTCTTGTCTCTCTGCAATGGTCAGAAGGTCTCTGGGGCTGTGCCCTTGGCCTGAAGTAGAAAATTCCTGGACACCATTATCAGGAGGGAGGGGTCATGCTCACCACTTATCTCTGGTTTACCTGGGTGTCTTTGACATGGTTTGTCATGGAGCCAGAATTGGAACCCATGGCCTGGCTCCCAACCCAGAATTCTTTCCTTTCTTATCTCTTGTCTTTGCTATCTACGAGGTCCAACTGCCACCTAGACTTGGGCTCCAGAGCCCCCAGGAGGAGTCCCATTGGCTCAAGGAGGAGGTGGTGCTGTGGGGAGGGGAGCTCCAGGACTGAAGTCATCCCAGCCCTCTCCTGGGCTTTGTGGCTGTGGGAAAACTGACCCGACTGGGCCTCCGTGCCCCTTCTGTAA